ATAACATTTTCCAGCTTGGTAAGACTTCTTATTTTTATTTACTGGTCAATACCTTGAAGGTTATATTCTCCTATGTATCTCTATTCCTCTCTGATCCTTCAGGACCAGTTACTAATTATTTACTGCAAGCACATACTGCTTTGCTTCATCTTGTTAAATGGACTCTTACCAACATGCAAATTATTTCTGGTGCAGAATAGAGTGCAATGACAATTTTGTAATGCATAGTTAAATTTGCTTCAACTCCAGTATGTGATACTCGCTTTTTAGAGAATACCCAGGGAGCTATATCCTCTCTGCCACACAGTATCACGTTTCGTTTCCAAATGAAGCTTTCTTCACCTTTGTTTCAAGAAGTATTACAGGAAGAAAAACTACATTAGTGACCCAACCAATCTATCAATTTTTACAAATACAGTATTTACAGTAAATTTTACAACAGGCTTATATATTTTTGCTGAAACAAACAAGGCCACTTAAGCTTTCCACTAGAACAGAGTTCTGGCATGAAGACTTTCAATGAGATTTCCTCCCACAAAGTCAATGTTTCCTCAAAGCTATTTGTGGAATATAGAAATAAATTGTATAACCCAGACACATACTACATAAGACCAAAATCACACCCAAGAGTCAGTTTACAGTAAGCTGAGTCACAGTACCCCAAGAAATCAATTCTCCTGTCATCATTTTATCTACTGACACTATTCTGGGATCTCATCACTCTGCACAATTATGCTATGGAGGGGAGAGCGTTGGTTAAGTGCTGCAAACGTACGGCCGGTTCCAGCTGCTGCTTCCAAGTTAAGCCCTTTAAAAGTTGTGTAAAAACTGGGCTAAGAATGATTTTAAAAAAGAACAACCTCTCAGACCTTAACAGCAAGGACAATACATTTACAGTAAGTCACCTCGCACACAGGGACACGTGACCCTCGGGGTTCATTCTCAGTGTCGCAGGAAAGGAAGTGGGTGCGTAACTCCCAGCAGGGTTCACTGGAGTTCGACAGCAATACCCCTTCCTACCATTAAGTATCTTACATATTGTGCATGAAAAATATCTCAGTTTTGTATTGAGGAAGCAAATACTGAAATAGAAACAACTTATAGCACAACAGATGTATTTACTTACGGCATGCAAGGTTTGTTTTTATGTATTTGAGCTGCTAACAGCCACTAACAGCCCTGAAGTATTTACAAGTTCAAAATTACAATCTTCACATAAGTAGCAATTCCTTACAAAAAGTTCAGGATGCTCCCTGGGAAATAAGCAAGAAATGGAGTAAAAAAATACTGAAGCAGTAATACAGAAAAGTAACAAAAGAAAACGTAACAGCTTTTAAAATCCACACAATTTAACACTGCTCTGTTTAAAAAAAAATAATAAAAAGCCACGTTAACACATTTAGTGATGCAATTCTAAAAGAAATATATCTTTGTTGGTTTTTTCCCCCTCTGGGAGAAAAGCCATACACAAGCTTAAAAATAAATTCTGAGTAAGTAAACAAAGTACAACGCCCTTTGGTTTGCCAATTTACCTTAAACTAGCTTCTCCGCTTCCCCCCTCCAACAACAATTTACAAGGCAAATACGATCAGAGACTGAAGAGCTCCAGACGTGATCATGCAGAAGATGCTTCTACCCCAGTTCATTGTACGGGAAGCAAAAGTAATGGCATTTATAAACATTTTTCCCCCAAAGTAATAGATTCTAAAACTTATCCAGGACGCAATGCGTATGTTAGCTCTGATTTGAGGGCCACGACAGAAAAAATCCTGCTTCTATGTTTAAGGCAGCCTAAGACTAAATTTGAGTCTCTTCAGCCTCTTGGAAAACAGAATTTTGTGCCAAATTACATTCTACGTGACTGTTAGTTTCATTTCATTCAGTAATCAAGCAAGACAAATTTAACTCTTATATTTCTGTGATAAATGTGGTTTTATAGCTGCTTCCATAAAGTAGTACTAGTTCTGTCTTTAGGACTATACAACCCAGCACTGAGGAAGGTAACCAGCAGTGACTTAAGAATACGTTTTTACATCACTCCATGACAGGTTTCAAGTTTAATTGTCCTTCTGAAAAGACATTTAACTACCTTTGAAAGCTACATTAAATTTATCGATAAATAATTTGGTGCCAGCTGATGCTCATACTAGAAACATTTTTCATGTTCAACTCCAGGAATAGTTTAGGGCAAAGAAAGCGCTCCAGTTTTGCCTGCCGCTTTGTTATGCCCGATTTGAAGGAATCTTACATTATTAAACAAAAATATACTAAAATACAAATGTTTAAGTTGGATTTTTAAATTTTGCATTTCTGCAATTCTTCATTGTGTAAAAGGTATTCATATTTTGTGTTAAACCTCCCTCTTGAGCCTAGCCCCTTTAACACATGAAATTAGAATAGTAAAACTTTTTTTGTGTAAACTTCAGTAAAATCTTTGCAGCCTTGGAGACAAGGTTGTAAAGGTGCTGTATAAACATTCTGATATACATTTCCTGTGTATTAGACTATGCGATACATGGAACATGACATTTTGAAGTTACCCAATGTAATGTATAAAAATATAAAATATGTATTTATGAGTAACAGTAGAATAAGCTACAGTGCAATTTTCCTTAGCCTGTTGAAAGCCCTGCCTGCATATGATTTTTCTGCCTATTCCAAGTCTTCCATAGCAGAATTTATTTTCCATTAATAGTACAACAGAGCAAGCACAGCTAGAAGAGACCGCTTTAAGAAGACTTACGCTGTAAACTTACAGATCCTAGAAGTCAAATATGTACTTTAAAAATTTTGTTTTGCTTGCTTTTATTTTCTGTGCTAAAATTTAAACATGCTTCACTATAAATTGTAAAGCTAGGATATTGAAGGAGAGTATGCCCTAAATTTCAGAGAAAATTATCCTATTATTTTCACCAGTCCTAAAACTAATTTAATATGATTTGAACTACACTGCTTGCTCAGGGCTTTAAGCATAAGGCATTTTGTGTACATTCCCCCAGCTATTTATTTAATTATTTAGCATGTAGAGCTACACCAGTGGAAATCCCTCCCTCAAAACCTTGGAAACCAATTCACTGCACATTCATGACAAACTGAAGAAGAGGAACAGATAGAAAAATCAAATCCAGAAATACGCAGTGCAACAAGCTAACCATTTTCTACTAGGTAAGGTCTTTTCAATCACAGAAGTTGTTTAACACGCTCTCCAGTTCTGAATACCTCAGCTTGAGTACATTCATAGCGGTGCATTCTGAATGCACTGAAGAAACCCATCAGAAAAGTCAGCTTTTCACATCATTCAGTGCCAGCAACTGCTCTGAGGACAGAGATACAAAGTTAATTTTGTTAATTTACATATTAACAGTCTGGAGAGATGAGCTCCAATACAAAAAACCCCTTCCAATTCCAAATACTTTTTACAAAAGATTGTAAACCTTATATTCTATCTAATCGCTGTACTTCCCAACCAAATTATGTTTTTCTTGGAAAAAAAAATGTACAATACAAAATTAAGTAACTCATGTCTGGCCAGACAATAAGACAGCTCTTGCTGCACTATGACAGTTCCTGACATGAAAAGAACAAATGAGGCAACACATTAACACAGATGAAATGAACCACAGAAGAGGCACATGAAATTACAGTTGAAGGGTATTCTATTCATCACTGGAAAAAGGATCCTGAAAAGCTGAAAAGTGCATAATAATTCAGTAAAATTTAGATATGCACAAACCGTTTATGCATTGACCATACTGTCTTGACTGCTCACAATTTGCCTCTCAGAATGATTAAAAAATTAATTTGATCATTATACTGTCATCTATCTATCTAAATAGGGTAAAAGTGATTATCACCTTTAAATATAGTATGTTAATGCATAAAAATACTTATTTTTCTTCTAGAATAAGGACTATATTTTCTATGCAAGTATCTAAAAACAATGGTCCTTCTAAATTAGTTTGGAATAATAAGCGAGATCCATTTCTTTGTAGAATGGGGTGTTTTTATTGTTTATATGTTTCGGTAATTAATTCTGAATATCTGTCCACTGTATAAACAATCACCAGAAAAATATATCCTCTTCCAGTAGCTTACAATACACATTAAAAATACTTACAAAACAGATTATAGTCCATTTACAACACCTTGAGCTTAAGGAAATTATTCTTGGGTCACTTCATTTATGCAATTAATTTTGATCAGGCTAAATTGAATATTCCATCTAACTTGAACCATGCTAACGTGGACAATCTAACATTTAAAAATATCTGCCCAATTATGTAGGATTTTAAATAAAATTAGGCATTTTTCCATCACAGTATATATGGCATTTCTTAATTTAGCAACCGAAAGGCACAGTTATTAAACCATAAAATACAGTACCTGAATCGTATATATACTAGTGATATCTACCAATGCCAATCCAGACATTTTACTTTGTAGAAGGGGCTAAAGAAAAAGGCTTCCATTTGTGAGTTTTTTTCCTAGAAAAAAATTCAACCTCATTACAAGTTTGGTCCACTAGAAATGCCTATTAGCTGAAACATCTTGAAGCAGGACTTCAGGAAAGAATAGAAGAAAGCGAATTTGGCAGTCTATGGTCCAGCAACTTGAATAAATTACTATGAAATGGCAAACAGATCATGAATGGAGCTTTCTGACAAGCTGTCAGCCGTACCTGTTAAAACATCAGGGTACACAGGTACAGTGGGACAGACAGCCCAGATACATTCACTGCATCACACACAAACAGACACTGTTACAGCAATAAGTCCAGACAGAGCATTTATAGAGTTCAGCACTTCTCATGGAGTGGTATTTGCCCCCCAGCCCCATACCATACCCAAAGATGTGCAAAGTTCCTTAAATGCTGTGCCTGCTGGGTATTGCTGTTAAAGTGAAGACGCTGCTAAAAGCCGAGCTCGCTGGCCTTCCCTTAGCAAACTAGTGCGTTTCTTCAAAAAGCAACTAGCTCTGTCCTTATTTGAGACAAAACCGCATCAAGAAAGACCAATAAAATGGAAGAGGCAAGGAACAATGAACATGAGGGAGAACCCAACCATTCCATACGTAATATAGCGATAGGGAAGCTCGACCTCCATGCGCTGTCTTGCTTTCCGTACGTCGTCATGCGGTATGCGGAACATTCGACATGCCAGTGGAATAGTGGCTTTTTTCATTGCTACTTTTGTTAGCAGCAGAACTATTACTCCAATCAACAACCGCAATATGGCTTTTCCAAATACAGTCACGGTAAGAGAAGAAAGAGATAAAGGTAACGTATCAGGAGGAGGATCTAGCTTTAGGCCGAGCATGTGGTTAACGTGAGAACCACAGGCTACTCCCGCACCACAGCCCAGGATCTGAGCTGTGTCTCCTCGCGATGTGCTCCAGGTGTCCAAAGTAAAAGAGAAGATGCCCAGGGCTAAATGGAGACTGATGATAATTAAGGGTGCATATTTGTAAGTTAAGTTGAAATTATCAATCAGGTCCACAACTGGATGGAAGACAACCAAGATGAGAATAGCATACAGAAATCCAGCAATAACATCCTGTTGAAGAGAGAGAAAGATATGGTTTTAGTCTAATAACTACTTAAAAAAAAAATTTACATTACATTTACAGGAAGATGAGCCTAGATACTCTGTTGCTAAAAACAACTTGTGGATTCCCGTCTTTTCTCTTTACCATGCAAGATTAAATCTTTCTGTAAAAGATGAGGTAAGGAAGTGCACTTGATCAGATCCCAAATGAAGCTATGATCCAATTATCCACAATCTAAGCTGTAGATCTACAGACCTGTTAGTAGGGCCTGTAATGACAGGACAAGGGATAATATTTATAAGTTAAAAGATGGCTGATTCAGGCCAGATATAAAACAAAAAAAAGAAAAAGGTATTTTTTACAATGAGGGTGGTGAAACACTGGAACAAGTTGCTCAGAGAGGTGGCAGAAGCCCAGTCCCTGGAAACATTCAAGCTCAGGCTTGATGGGGCTCTGAGCAACGTGATCTAGTTGAAGGTGCCCCTGCTCACTGCAGAGGGGTTGGCCTAGATGACCTTTCTTCCTGGTTGAGCTAAATAGAACTGGTTCCACTCAGTGATTTTTACTTTCCAGCTCAGTCTTTTCTAAAAGGCAGCACTTTCTGAAGTTGGCAGCGTGTTTTTGCACAGTGCATGCTACTGGCACTGACAACACCTGATGTTTAGTTACTGCCTGGGACTGGGATGCAGAAAGGCTCTTGCTTATTTCCCAAGTGACCAAGGTCACTGCTGGCTCTTGTGTGCCATGCTGGGGGTGCCGGGTAGTAAAAGGGGTCACAAGGAAGTAAAAGGTTGCACCTCTGGGGGAGAATAGACAGGACAGGTGATCAACAAGGGTATTCCATCCCATATACATTGTACACAGTATAAAACTGAGGGGTCACAAGAGTTTAGGACTCTCTTTTGCCTCTTCTTCAATGGCCAGCATCCAGGGAGGACTCCGTTCCATCTTCTGCCTTTGATCCCAGTCCTGAGTTCCTGAACCCAACTCCCCGCTGCCCTGAGCCTGGGGCTCCCCCAGTACCGCCTGTTCTGAGGCATGAGTAGGGACTGCTACCGGGGAAGTCGGGTTCAATATCAGATCATATATGTATGTATACAGTCCTTTATTATTTCCTCATTAATTCTTTTATTATTGTTTTATTAAAGCTGTTTTAGTTTTGCTTCCTAATCCGTTAAGTCTCTTTGCCTCATTCCCTTTTCCTTCCCTTTTTTGGGGGGAGAGGGGGTTGGAGAGTGCCTGTCGGCGTTTAGTGGCCAGCCCAGTCCTAACTGTTGGTACCTTTAAAGGTCCCTTCCAACCTAAAACCATCCTATGATCCTGCCTGCTAGCTACAACAGTGCTTGTCCAGGACTGAGGCCTTTCAGCCTACAGTCAGCACAGAGTTAGCCCAGCTAAGTAAGTTCTGCCAACTTAGTTTGCTGGAACAGCTCAACACTGGATCTAAGTGCCTGGGTGCCCACACACAGGGACACTGGCAGCAACAGCTGGTAATGCAGCCGAGGACCACTGGCATTACAGGAGCTTAGATTTTCCACTCCAGCTTCAGAATTAACAACACTGCAAGAATGGAGAACTGTTTCCAATTATTAAAGGAGAGGAAGAATGAACTTAGTTGGCTTCCTACTTGACTTTCAGTTTTATTATTGTTTTTAAAATACCTTAATTAAAAGGTTATTCTAATTAAATGTTAGATTTCAGTTCCTGCTGATTAATCACTCAGTTGCACAGAATTGTCTACAACTTTTGTCACTTTTAGTTGTTAAGCAGGAATTTGCTGAAAGGTTTTTAGAAATCGAAGCACTAGACACAGGATCACCTTCATTCACATTCTTATCAACTTCTCCGTAAGAGCCAGGAGGTGGGACTTTTGTTGACAGTATTTGTACTACTCCATCTTTCACAAATCATTTTTATTCACCTTCACTAACTGAATGCTTGATAAAAGCTCCAATGCAATTGACTGCTACGAAATTCAGACTTGCTCATTTCAGAAGCAACCACAACTTTCTGCCATATTTGCCACCCTGCCCCCATAACCTTTGGGCACCACGGCAATATTATAGGCAACACATAATTAGTTGAATTCACTCAAACACTAGAGAAGACTCAGATACGAAACTGCTGAATAACCTAGTCTACATGATGCATCACTGTTTGCTCCATGACTCTGTTCTATGACATTATCTGTCAGCTGAACTATCAGTTCATTCCATCATCCTCCACACAAGTGGTTCTGACTTGCGAAGCCTCCCAGTCACTAATGAAAATATGTCACTCAGTTTTGCTGCGCTCCCTTATTTTCACACGCTTTTACACAGTGTTCATCTACCGGCTTTACTAGTCACCACCATGCTCACTGATTTCTATCCGTTGGCTTTTCTCCTCCTAGCAAGTGATCCTCAAAAACCTTTTTAGCCAGCCTTATCAGTGGTCTTGCATTCTGATTACCATTTTGCACTCTCACTTTCCCATTTTTACATTGCAGGCATGTGTGTTTCAGTTTAATGGGGGTTTTTTAGTCATTTTTAGTAAATAAGTCTGTTTTTCAAACATGACAACTTTGTTATTTGATTCTTTAGAAACTTAGGGAAGCGAAGCCCTGGCATTTAAGCATAGCACTCTGAAATGCAAGAGCTTTGAGTAGCTGACGTGGAATCCAAGTGGATATTAACAGCCACTCTCTCATCCTGCAAAATTATTTCTGTTCTGTAGAGGAAAAAAAAGTCTAAGCTTTAGCACAGTTGTCAATTTCTGCATTGTATCTTCTATTACATATCAGCTAAGTTTCAACTGCAGATTGACTTTATGAAAGTATAAATCAGCAGTTTGACATCTACTTTTAGGTACTGGATCAATCTATTCTCTCAAGAAACTTAACTATTCTGTTCCTATATGGCAGGACATTCTGAAAAAGAAAAAACCTGTACACAATTACTGTATTTTAAAACTTAAGTGTGATAGAAGTTTATGAAATCAGAAAATTAAAATATGAGTAAATTATTTTCTTACCAAAATTGAATGCATTCCCATATAAATTCGACTACAGCAAACCAAAGAACACCAGCAGAATGCAAGGATCAGCCCAAACATAAGGGGATACTGGTGGGGGAAAAAAAAAAAAAGGTAAGTAAAAAAATTATTCTAAGATTTCTGTAATTAATTCAAATTAACGCAACTTATGCTTACCCTTTTCCTTGCCCTCGCCTACCCAAGCCTACCAGATCACTTCAAGCATGTCCACTGTTCAAAAGTCAATACAATATTAAGTCAAACTTTTCCATTTTTTTTCCTTGTCCTCTTCCTTCACCTTCAGGATACACGAATTTCACAGCATTGGTCATCTCAGACAAAGCAGTAAGAAGTTAACAGATCTTTGTAGCAGCTAGCCTTGCCACGTTATGATATCCTAAATTGACAATATGGGCAGAGGCAAGCCCTGCGTTATAAACTGTGGAACGGTTTTACACTGGGTGAAGCAGCTTCATAATATGCTAACATTGTTAACCAGGCAGAGCCTAGGCTTCACCTGAAAAGAACTCATAATAATTTACAAATGAATTCAATTCCTTACACACTACTTTAGAGTTTCTGCAATCCTTCACTCAAATCTCTAAGCATTAGTAAGAAACTCCTAGAACAGTTACCTTTTTTGTTCTCTACAAACCCATGTATATTTCCTCTTGCAATCCACTTCTATTAAGAAAAAAAAAAATCAAATAAATTCCATCTTCTGCTACAAGGTGTTTGGGTTTTTTTATTATTTAGGACTGTTTACCAGAAACAAAACACTTTATTTTAGTAAGCAGATATCAGCATGTGCAGAAACATGCTATATTAACTTTCTTAGGTTTTGGATAAGAGTATGCTAATTCCCATCTTACAGCACAGTAAGAAACAGTTGCCCCTCTATCGTGTTGCAAAATGTTCTACAAGACAGGATACAGCTTCCTTTTTTTCCAGTATTAAAAATAATTATTAGTTCTATAAAAGAAGCAGTCACAAGACAAAGTGGCACATTTCCAAAATTGTTTCACTTCCTACATGAAAGAAACAAACATTTCAATATAAACAGGCAGTATAGATGTAGTAGAATCTCAGAATAAAAACTAAGAAACACGGGCAGTTTTCTTGCTCATTTTATGGATAACCTGAAGGGTAGAATATGCAATGAATTTTATGTCCTCTGCGAAGGCCACTTAACAGATTGGCAAGCTTTTAAATCAGGCTGTCAGTGAAAGGCCTGAGAGAAGATTATCAGTCTTCTGCCTTATCCCAACATTCTCTGAATTCCCAGCACCAGAACCATGTTAGCATGACAAATCAAAAAAAAAATTTCTAGAAATAACAGAAAAATGGGAAGCTTCCGTTTCATATAAGAAACTGATTTCACAATAAAATCAATTCTAAATGCCCAGCTCACGGTTGCATTAGATCTAGTTTAAGCTCTAATTCCTGTAGCAACATTTGTCCTTGTTTCTACTACACTCATCTACAAATCGTGCCTAAACAAAATTATGTACGTAATGATTTGTTTCTAACTGGAATGATGAAGGAACAAATTCAGTTCCCTGCCTTACAGAATTAGGCTAATAACAGGTAAAACACACCAGTACCTAGGTCACGCTCAAGACATGAGCATGGCATTATCGGACGC